GTTGCCATTCTCTTCTCCAGGGAATCTTCCCGACCCAGGGATCAACATGGGTCTCTTGCATTGCATGCAGATTCTTTACCATGTGAGCCTCAAGGGAAGCCAAGGACCTAAAAGTAAGAGCTAGAACTATAAAACGCTTAGCAGAAAATAAAGGGTAACTCTCCATAACCTAAGATTTGGCAAAGGATTCTTAGATATGATACCAAAATTATGAGCAACAAAAGAAAAAATAAACTGGACTTCTCCAAGACAAAAAACTTCTGTTCTTCAAAGAATATCAAAAAGAATATGGAGAATTCCCTGGGAGTCCAGTGGTCAGGACTCTGAGGTCTCACTGCCAAGGTCCCAGTTTCAATTCCTGGTCGGGGAACAAAGATTCCACCAGTCATTGCCAATATATAAATAGGGATACTTAAAAATAGATGTTTGAAAAGACAACCCCCAGATGAAGGGGTATATTTGCAAATCATATATCTGATTTGGCTCAGGGGCTATGTTCAGAAACATAAAGAAAACCTACAACTCAATAATTAAACAATTTAAAAAATGGGCAAAAGATCTGACTAGCCATTTCTCCCCAAAAGACAAATGGCCAACAAGTACACGAAAAGACACTAAATATGTTAAGTCTATAGGGAAATGCAAAAAAAAAAAAAAACCCACAATGAGAATCCACTTCACAGTCACTGAAATGTCTAGTACCAAACTGAGATATTAACAAATTTTGGAAAATCTATGGAGAAACTGGAACCCAAATACACTGCTGGTGGTAAGGTAAATGGTGCAGTTACTATGGGAAACAGTCTGACTGTTTCTTATGTTTCTTAAATGATTAAACATAGAAGTTAGCACATGATCCAGGAAATTCATTCTTAGGTATATGCCAAAGGGAAATGAAAGCATTCTACACAAAAACTACATAAATGTTTATAGCAGCATTATTCATACTAGCCAAAAGGCAGCAATATGTCCATCAGTGGATAAATACACCAATAAAATATAGTAAACCTATATTATGGAATATTATTCAATTACAAAAAGGAATGAAACACTGATACATCTACAACATGGATAAACTTTGAAAACATTAGGCTAAGTGAAAGAAGTCAGTCACAAAAGACCCCATGTTCTCTGATTCTATTTATATGAAATGTTCAGAACAAGGAAACCAATACAGAAAGTAGATTAGTGATTGCTTAGGTCTGGGAGTGGGAGACAGGGCAACAGGATATAGCTCAAGGTAGTAAAAATGTTCCAAAATTTACTGTAGGGATGTTCGTGAATAAAAAAAAAAACACAAAAAATTGTGTACATTAAATAGGTAAATTGTTTGGCATGTGAACTATATCTCAATAAAGGTGTTTTAAAATCTGTAATGAGACACATCCTCAGGGGCCACTTCTACACTTCCATAAATCTAATAGGAAGTGCCTCCTTAGATTTTGCACCCTAAGTTCTTTGCCTTGCTCCATCCTAATCCCGCGTGTGCTCTGTATCTTTCCCCTTATACAAAGAAAACCACTTCTTATTTGTTGTTGTTGTATCCCTTGTCTCAGCAGAGGTTTTACGTAAAGGAGCTAAAAGAAGAAAGTTGCTTGCAAGATACTCATTTCCTTTCCTTCCTTTTTTTTTTTTTCTTTGAATACAGCATTCATGAGAATTTATGACAAGCATTTTCGGGAACAATAAGAAAATATTTCTCTTTTCAGAGTGATCACAAGCAGAATGATAGATTTCTTCCAATTTTAAAGTTTTAACACAGGAGGGTACAAGACTTGAGCTCCACTTGGTGGGGGTGTTTCAAGGAATTAGTAGGATTTAGAAGGGATGGCCATGTGCCTAGACAGAAGCTTTGGGGTTTGTAGCCTCAGTCAAGTTTCCAGGCCATACCTGAATGGTACACAAGGAGAAAGCTGTCAGACTTCAAGACCACTGTGACCCTGGACAATATCTCGACGTTAGCAGAAACCTTGATGATCTAGAGCTATCTGCTCTTCCTCTTTCCCCAGTATCATTTAAAGCCTGGGCTGGAGATGGGAGACTCTGATATCGATGAAAATTTAATTTCTTGCTACCCTAACCAAAAGAGAGCTTTGAGTTAAAAAATTAGAGTTAAAAAATTAGATTTTTTAAAACTATAAATAAAGGGTGTATATTAGGACCAAGAGAGATATTCTCTTTCATAACCACAGAGTTGTCACATTTAGCAAATAAAAATACAGGATACTGAGCAAATTCCAACAGAACTGAAAGCTTCTGAGCTTCCCTGACTAGGAAAACTATTATACACCCTCTTCTGGACACACTTAGATACTGTTCTTGGATTTGATGAGTTCTGGGTCCTCTTGGTTACCCTTCAAATCCTAAGCAACAAGTTGGAGATGTTGGGCAAAGTTTCTGGTAACTAGTTTATGTCTGTCATGATCTTGCTGATAAAAATGGGGACTAGTTGATTCTGGTATTGAATTAAAACTTGCATTTCTCCCATCCTTTATACTTGCCCTATACAGTTTCACCTCTTGAAAGTTCTGTTGACTCAGTAGTGTTTCTCAGAATTGAATTAGGGTTGTCTTATAAAAACCACTGCTTAATCACATTTAATATATATACAAATCATCATTGGATCTTGTTAAAATGCAGATTCTGATTCAATAGAATTGGGATGGGCCTTGAAACTTTTTATTTCTTATTAAGCTCCCAGAGGACTAACAGACTGGTCCTCCTATCACACTTTGAGTAGCAAGATTATGACCACTTACGTCACAATCAATAGGTATTTGTTAAATATGCAAGTACCTAGGCCCTATCCCAATGTACTGATTCAGAGTCTCTGGGGCACTGTCCCAGAGGACAAACTCCTAGGGAGACCCTGCCCTCTACCGTTTTCTCTACTTACTAATTTTTTGTCCTTTAAAGCCCATTGCTAGTCCCTTCTGCCATTTGATGCTCTTACCGACTACCTCACACTCTTAAATTCTTAACAGTTGTCTGCGGCAAGCACTTGGTGTTTATCATGAGCTCTTTTCTTGTATACATATGGTCTTCCCAGACAGATTTCATTCTTATTTTCATTTTTTATTTTTTTAAATGAACAATTTTATTATATACTTTCTCTAAGCCTCAGCCCCTAGCATAAAACTTCACAGACAGTACATGTTTACTTAACGTTCATCATAGACAATAATAGTGATGATAGTGAATGATGAATTTTTCTCCAGGACCCATGTGTATTTCCCAGGCCTAGTGTGAATAAAAGATCCTACTGATTCTGTAAAGGAAATACTTAACTGACTAGCAAAAACTGTAATTCCCAACTATGGCACACTATTTTTCAGGGATGGGTACTACAATCCTTCTATACCTTGGTATTTGGAATTTTATTATGGTAAATGGCATTTTTAAAGGAAAGTAATTCTTTGAATTTATTATATCTTTTACCTGTGAACCTCCAAGTACTTTAAAGCCATTTAAGTTACTGCAGCCAAGGTGTAAATACTATTACACTCTCCTTGCAAAAAACTGACGAGAGAGAGTCACTTGGTTAAAATCATAGAGCTACTGTTTAAGAAGCTACACCAAGAGACTCAGGAGCAGCTGTGTGTGACAGGCAAGCACTTGTCAGCATCTCCCACACTTGTTCTGTGACTTGAAAGGTGAACATTCTGTAGAAGAGAAGAGGGCAAAATAAGGAGAAATTTAAGACTATTTCTTTTCAATCTTTCTCCTAGCTCCATATTCCTATTGCCAGTGCTTTCTGCACGCTAACGCTAATTCATTCTTGTGTTATGGTTAAATGCTGACACATCTTCCCTTTCACAACTTGGTGTCCCCCCCCCCCCCCCCAGTTATCTTGTTCTCCCTACCTCCCAGTCCACTGTAGCAGCAGAGCAAAATGATCTGCCACCTGAGACTGAAATGAGGTTGGATTGCTCGTTCGACTACTTTTGAATTCCGCCTCTTTGAAAAAGTCAGTTCACTCAGAGGCAGCTTCCTCTTTGTGCGTAAAATGAGAATGGATCACCTCCTTTTCACTGCGTCACACGATAGAAGGCGATTCGTAAACTGTAAAGCACTGAATATATATCAGCTGTGGCCTTCCTGCACCAGCCCTTGTTTAATCTAATTGAAGCCCAGGGACAAAACTGCAGTGGCCCTAAAGCGGACTGGGCGTTTCTATAGGGAACAGCCTAGAGGTGTAGCTTTTTTCCTTTGAGAAAACGAAGGGCAAGGAGCTGCTGGGAGTTGTAGTCTGCGGTGGTCTTTACACGCCTCGAGGGGGAGAGAAAAAAAAAAGAACTACAACTCCCGTGAGGCCATGCGGGGCCAGCCCTCGCACTCTTCCGCCAGGCGCGCTCCCCAAGACGAAACAGGAGGGGCCCTTCGCGCGCCCTGGGGATTCACAAAAGCGAGCGAGCTCTGAGACGGGCGCTCATGTGGTGGACATGGCGTCTGATGCAGAAAAGGAGACGCCTGGGGGTGGGTGGGGATTGTAACAAGAATAAGACACGTGGAAAAAGGCAAATTAAGAAATAAAATGGTCCTGTCCCTATTCCTCACCCTGCAGCAGGGTACTAACTCGCGCCGCTGGGAAGGCGTCGGGAGCGCGCTTCCCGGCTCACGCCTCGAGTCCCGGGAGCTTAAATCGGCTGGGAAGGGGCGGGGCGAGAGGCGCGAGGGCGGGGCCTAAAGCTGCGAGGGCGGCGGTAGCCGCGGCGGCCACGACCTAGACATCTGGGACTGTTTTTGTTCTCTGGAGGTGGGACCGCCTCAGTCCGTTCGCCCAGAGAGACCAGGAGCTCGTCTAGTGGAAGTAGGCGGCCGCGTCCCTCCTCTCTCCTGTTTCCTCAAAGCTGCGGCAGGACCTGGCACAAAAGTCCTGCGGTTGGTCTCCGATGCCTTTCAGTGAGGAGGGGGCGTCGAGATCCCGGTGAGCGCACGTCAAGCTCCTCCAGCTCTGTGTCTTGGCTGGATCCCCAGTCACGCACCCCAGACTGGCTGCCATGACTGAAAACGCAGAGGGGGACCTGAACTCCAACCTGCTCCACGCCCCCTATCACACTGGGGACCCTCAGCTAGACACAGCCATCGGGCAGTGGCTCCGTTGGGATAAGGTGGGTACCTGGTCGGCAGGGCATCCTCCCCCTCCTCCTGCACGCCCTCCCACACCGTGTACGCCCTTGCCCGTCCCCACCTGGTGCTCGGCAGGCTGTGGGGGGAGATGGCTCAGGCCATGCGGCGGGAGCTAGCGGAGCTGGGCGTTGCCACCCACCTATGCCTGGGCTGCCTCCCTGGGGCCATCTGAGCTGGGAAAGGACGCCTGTAGTCGCTTCCTTTTGCAAGGCGAGAAATTGCTACCTTCCTTCCTCCTCCCCCCGTCCCGCCCCCCTTCAAGTGTATATCGTGTCTCTTTCCTCCAAAAAAAAAAAAAAATCATCATCATCATTATAAGTTATACCCTTACTAGAGAGATTTCCTTTCCCCTTTCTTCTCCCTTGACTTCCTTCTCTGCAAATCTGAAAGTGGGTGTTTTTTGTTGGGGTTTTTTTTTTTTTTTCCACCTTCTGGGACGATATCTAACCACTGTCTGCTTTAGCGCTGGTCCTTTAGCGCTTTACCTTACGTCGCAAGGTAGTCGCTGGTCTTTTATCGCTCCCGCTCCCGTGTATTCTCTAATAACACCTTTTGCTCTTGAGAAAGATAAGGGTTCTCTTTTTTCCGTTGGCCAGAAGTTATTTTCTGAAGGTGTCCTCTTCCAAAAATCATGTTTTCCAGGTTTCATGCGATGATACAGACTTGTATATTCCTCCTCTGTTCCCCGACCCGTACTCTCTCCAAATTGTTGCGGTGTTTTCATCTTACGGAGGCATATGGGATGGATATATGAGAGCTAGAATTAAAATGCAGCCATCTCACTTGTAAAAGAGGCCCTTAGCTCCAACAGAGGAAGATGATCCAAGCTTTTGCTTTGTCGAGTATATTAAATGCATTTGTTGAAGTAGAGACGGCAACGTATTTTAAATAGAATTAATAATACTGAATAAAAGAATTAATGTGGTCATATGTGAAATCATGTTATTCAGCTTCCTAAAGGATTATTAGCCTTCTGAAAAGGTTTTATTTTCACTTTGTTCAGTCATTCATGCATTCAGCAAAAAATATCAATTGAGCATTGGGTAATGTTTCGGGGCCTGTTGGGTCGAGGGTATGCTAGTGGTGAGGAGGCTAGAAAGGGTTCCTACCCTCAAAAAGCCATCAGTCAGCAAATAAGGAAGACCAACAAATAAGCAATGACTTGTTTAGTATTACATGGTCATATGTATCTTGGACATTCTAATTCTTCCTCTGGAGTCTAAACCAGTGCATTTCAAACTCTTGAAGTTCAATCAGAGCCCCTGGAGATCTTTAAATGCATATTGTGATTTATGAAGCCTGGGGTGTGGTGTGAGATTCTGCTTCATAATGAACTCCCAAGTGATACCAATGCTGCTGGTCTGTGGACCACACTTTGGGTGGCAAGGCTCCAGAATGTTCTGAATGAGCTACTAGAGAGCTAACACCCTTTTTGTAGGATTTGCCCATTTATACAAAAAATACATATGTACACACACCTTTTTCAGTCATATGCAAAATCTGTGGTATCCCATTGATTACAAGGATGTGAAAAATGCGAATAACTTTAAATCCATTTTGCCAGTTTTTATTATTGCCTGCTGTGAATGTAGTTCCTTGTTGTGGAAGGATACAAAAGAAGTGAAGATTTACAGATTACTCTTCTGTTTTTGGTACATTAGGGAGGAGGAAACCTAGTAGGAAAAAAAAGCTAAGGCTTAGCATACTGTGAAATGATATATACTGTAAACTGACCATATATATCTCTTCAACAGAGAAATCTAAATTACAAATGAATGTTATCTTTATAGGTTTAATATAGTTAATTGCTATTGTTTAAAGCCATCTGCTGTCAGTAAAGAAATGTGATTTTACTTGTGTCTCTGTGAAGTGAAAGGAAGATGTATGATATTCAAAGACACTTGTAGAATTCCAACAGAATTAAACTTACTGATAACTATTATGTGTGTCAAAGCCTTTGGCCCTTCAACAATAGGAGTTTGTTTCATTGTCATGGGTGAAATCTTTTGTTCTATTTAGGTGCCAATTTTGACTATACTTTTCCTAGTGGATCTCTTGACTTGATTATTTTTAAAACTATTGGCTGAGTGAATTAAGATTATTTGTCCATGCTGTACCTAGATATTGTTGGGTATACTGAAATGTGAAAAGATTATGAAATACATATACATGTAAAAAGATAATGCTGGGATGGTGTTGGTGGCAATTTAATGGTTTATAGGCAGTCAGGTTTTATAGGAGTTTAAAAGTAAGTGACCTGTGGACTGGGATAGTCAAGGAAGACAATATGAAGATGGGATACATATAAAAAGAATGGGGAGAGCCCTCACCAAAAGTGGAAGAGAAATTAATTTATATTTAAAGGGCCTTCTATATACAAGGTACGGACTGAAAACCTGTGGGAAACACAAAGATTAATTAGATATGGATCGTATCTTCAAAGAACATAGAAGGGAATATAAAACAAAAGCTTACAAATACAGGGAGCAAGTAACAAGTGCTTTTAACAGATTTAAATAAGTTTAATAATTATTTAATAAAAATAATATTTACTTAACCAATTCCTCTCTCAATGGGAAAAATGCTTTTAATTAGTAAGGAAAGATACATGTATTGTAGATTGATAGTGTAGGTAAGCTAGGCTATGGTATCCCAGGGCACTGAAATGTGGAGTGCAGAATTGTGAAACAATAGTTTGGATTTACAACATTTATTGCATTACATGTTGGTGATGACATGTGTGGTCTTCCAGCATAGAGAAAGTGAGGTAATACCTGATTAATACCTATTTATTTTTTATAGTGGAAAAAAGAACCTACCAAATGCCCTGATCCTTGATGACTCTGGTGAGATACATAGTACTAAGTCATAAGTTGATCTAAAAGCAATTTGTTACTTGCCCAGGTCACCAGTATTGCTAGTTTTAGTCATGGTGGGTGGTGTTCTTTGAAATTTCTTCATAAAACAGGTGTTATCTGTGCTAAACCCTTTAGAATTAGTTAAAATTTAGACTTGTCAGCATTGAGAGGAGGAATATTCCAAGTAGAGATAAAAACAATAATGTGTATACTTAGAAAATTTGTTTCTGCAGTAGCTTAGGGTACATAGAAACTGTTGGAAAGGCATGTAGACCAGGTCATAGAAAGGCATTAGTATGTGGTTAGTGGCCTTGAGTAAAGGTATATGAAAATGTCAAAACAAAAATAGTGCAATAAGACAGGGTGTTTATTGGGGACGTCCCAGGTACCCCTTGCTGTTGTTATGGAGTGACATTCTTCTGTTCTGTTTACTATAGTCCAGGATCTGACCCTTGGTTCTTATGCCTTCAGATTAATTTGTTAGTCTCTCTTGCCTCAGGATGGACTCATGCTGCTCAAGGTCACAGTAACTGATGTCAGAATTCAGAAAGCTGTTTTATTAATTTATGGTACAGATGTAATATAGATGAATTTGTCTCAGTCAGGCCATTTTCTCGATGCACCATAAGGGAAGTGAAAGAATCTGAAGATTTGCAGTGATTATGAAATCAAATCACAAGGAGTCAGAAATATGGCATAAATGTTTAACAGCATTAGCCTATAATAACTTAATGCATCCATCTCTCTGATAGAACTGTCCTACCACTGGAATCCAACAAGTCTGTGGATCAAAGTGTTCCTCCTCCAGCCAATGCACAGATGATGCTGCTACAGTGCTCCCCCCTTCTATCTTTTAGAGCTAAGGCCCCCACTTCCTTCCTAATACTTTCATACATTCTATCAAATTACAGACAAGTCTTGCTGGCTAGAAGTTAGGTTCTCTATAAATATGACAACTCTCTCCTGTTTTTGATATACTGTAAGTTTTACCATTTTTGAAAACAGTCTTATCAAAGACTTTAAGCCCTGTCCAAGTTTGGGTGTGTAAATGTGGGTAGGGAGTGGGATGGGACCCCGGGCAGAGCCGCTCAGCCAGCTGTAGTGGCAACAACTATATACGTATTGACAGCAGTGTGGAGGCAGGAATTGGCCATGGCATTTTGAAAAATAATGAGTAGAGTACTGTGGTCTCTGAAGGTAGGTTTATGTTGAGAAAGAGTAGAATGTAAAGATAGATTAATTAGGTTACGGTTATGAAATGCCTGAACATAGAAATAAAAGACTTCATCCTAAAGTCAATAATTTTTGAACATCTAGCAATGAAAGTTTTTAAGCAAAATATAGCCCGCATTTCTTTAAAAGTGGTGAATGGATTTCCTTTTAAATCATCATCATGTGATGGAAAACACACCCATGAAGCACCTCTACAGAGGTCGTCTAGTCCAGTTTCATTGTGCAGAGACCCAAAGAAGTGGAAATTATCAGTGGTGGTGGATAGAACATGAATCAGAACTTGAATCTGCCACCTAGTTCAATATAGTTTTTATAATGGTTTAGTCACTAAGTCGTGTCTGACTCTTGTGACCCCCATGGACTGCCAGGCTCCTTTGTGTATCGGATTCTCCAGGCAAGAATACTGGAATGGGTTGCTATTTCCTTCTCCATTTTTTTAATAATACTAGTCTATATTACATTTTTTGTTAACCTTTTTCTAACACTTTACATAATTTGGCATTTGATCAATGAAGAATACGTATCACCTTGTTAATTTTGGAAAATATTAGTGGTTATTACTTGAATTTATTTGTGTTGTGTTTCAAACCTTGATGATCTAAATAATTTGATATTCACAGCAACCCTGTATGGTAGGCAGGTTAGGTGTGAAAGTGAAGTCACTCAGTCATGTCCGACTCTTTGCGACCCCATGGACTATAGTCTTATCAGGCTCCTCCGTCCATGGGATTTTCCAGGCAGTAGTACTGGAGTGGGTTGCCATTTCCTTCTCCAAGGTTAGGTGTAGTTATCCCCAATTTCACAACTAAAGAAACTTAGTTTCAGACAAGGAAAATGACCTGCTCAAGGACATATGGCTTTTAAGTGGTAGACTTGGAACTAAACCTGGG